TGCAGGACTCTTGTGGTGCAGTGTATGGGATTACATTGGTATCTGATAGTCTAATATCTTTAAATTACTCTCTCTGTATCCTAACACTTGTTAGGGTCAAGCAGAATAGAAAACAAAATGAAATATCTGATACAAATTGACCTATTAATCCATATGATTTTTCCTACCCTGGTACATGAACAATGTTCACAACACATCAGCACATTAATATGTAGTAATACTGTTATTAGAGGCTTATAAGACATTTTGCCACTTTTACCTTCAAATATATCCTGAGGCTGTAAAATACTCTACAGTTAGCATTAACACAGCCTTAGATACATTCTTTCACTTTGCACTAAGGGATTTTTATGTCCTTGGCAGACACTTAGATTTGTAGAGCGACCGAGTATACAGGAAAGAGAACAAAGAAGTGAGAATACAACATAAGGGTGAAATGAAGCGGTCTGGAAATATCTGGTTTCTTTTTCGTCTTTAGGTATTTGGTTAAGCTGTACACACTTAACACCTTCACAGTGTTAATGAGTGCCTGAGTGCATAAGAGGTGAAGCTTAATGGGCCACCCAGTTCTGCTCCTCTGAGGTCAAGGTACTTCTCGTTTACACTTGGATAAAGGCTTGTCTACATGGGAAAGCTATACCAACATAGGATAAGATGTGAATTTAAATGATCTCCATGTGTCAACACTATTATTCTGGTATAAGAGGGTCTTTCTTTTTATTTAGCTTATGTCACTTTGGAAAGGGTTTAAACTAACTGGGGAAAGTCACTCTTAAAAGAATAAGGCTAGGTCTACACTACCCACCTGAATTGGCGGGTAGAAATCGACCTCTCGGGGATCAATTTATCGCGTCCCATCGGGACACGACAATCGATCCCCGAATCGACGCTCTTACTCCACCAGCGGAGGTGGGAGTAAGCGCCGTCGACAGGAAGCCGCAGAGGTCGATTTTGCCGCCGTCCTCACAGCGGGGTAAGTCGGCTGCGATACGTCGAATTCAGCTATGCTATTCACGTAGCTGAATTTGCGTATCTTAAATCGACTCCCCCCTGTAGTGTAGATGTAGCCTCAGAGTATCTGCACTGGGGTTTATACTGGTATAGTTATTTTGGTTTAACTATACCAGTTAACTATACTGGTAAAACTTTCCTGTGTAGACATGGTCTAAGAGAGGGCAGGTTGTATGCACATTTTGTGACATTAGATCCAATATGTATACATGTTACAATGTATATATTTTTACAAAGAGCTCAAGAAATGGGTGTAATGTTGAAACCACAGCTACCAAAACACTTCATGTTTTGCAGTCCTGAAGTAGTCCAAGTGACTTTTATGCACTAAATATTTAAAAGAAGACAATAATTAATGTTGTTAACTTTCTATTTCACCACACAGAGCAGTAAAAGACAAGGGAAAAATGACAGTAAATAAAAAGGCCTTAAAAAGGAAAAATAGTTAAAAGAAAACCAATTAGCCATGTTGGCACTCAGATGCTAGACAAATATAAAAGTGTCTTACAAAGGATTAAAAAAAAAGGTTTTGTGTCCATTCTGAAAAGGTTTTTTTTAAGATGTAGAAAGAAGACCTGAAAGATAAGGCTTTCTTATTTTTATTCTACTAGTATTTTCACCTTTGGAAATATAAGCAATGTCAGTCTGGTTTTGCTGAAGGAGGAGCTCTTGGGAGCCTAGAGAAGGGGTATTATGAGCTCTCTGGAGTGTGGGGTACTGAATCTTTAACAACAGCTTTCTTTCTCTAGAATGTCCTGTGGATATTGGAGTTAAAAAGCTGTTAGTAAAAATAAACAAAAGCAAATTTTAAAAGTCTGGAAAAAAGGTAATTGTAAGGAGAAGGGATTTTAAGACCTTGTCTACACTTTAAACATGGACTGGTTTAACTAAATCAATATAAAAATCAATCTTGCTAAACCAGTGCAAACCCCTAATGTAGATTCACTTAAATGGGGTTATCCTTGCTTAAATTGGGATTGACTTAAGCTCACTTATGGTGTAGGATTGTACCAGTTTAACAAGACTGATTTTTAACTTGATTTCATTAGACTGGTGAACCTTTCTAGGATAGACAATGTCTTGGGTAATCTCTGGTGATGCCATAATGTCCATAGTTTTCCAATAACAATAGAATCTTCCAGGATAGACAAGACCTACATTTCTAGGGTGAAATCTGGCTTCACTGGACTTAAGGGCAGAACTCCTACCTCTGATGTCAAATATGATTGGAATAAGAGTGTTAAAATTAATGGTTATAACCTATGTAGGAAGGATAGAGTGGTACTTTAAAAGGGCAAATTATATAAAGCTGAAGACAACTCTGAGCCAGAGCAACTGGGAGGAAGAATTTAATCAGAAAAATGTGAATGATAATTGGGAATTGTTTAAGAACACTTACTAGATGCCTCAAAAGTCACAATCAAGGAAGAAGGCCTCATTGTTTAGAGGGGAAGTGAGGTCAGCTATAAAAATATACAAGAAAGGGAAAATTGATAGTATTGAATATAAATCAGAAGTGAGGAATTGTAGAAAATTGATAAGGGAAGCAAATGTACACAAGGCGAAATCTATGGCCAGCAGAGTTAGACAATAAGAATGAGGTATTTTTTAATATATTGTGGGGTGGGGGAAGGGGGAAGATTCCTAACAATGTTATTGGTCTATTACTAGATGGAAATGGTAGAATTATAGATGATAATGCAGAAGAGGCAAAAGTGTTCAATAAATATTTCTGTTTTGTATTTTGGCAAAAATCATATGATATAACTACATCATCTGTTAACACTCTTTCCATTTCACTAGTATCTTATGAGGATGTTAAACTGCAGCTATTAAAGTTAGATATTTTTAAGTCAGCAAGTTTGGATAACCTGCATCCAAGAGTTTTAAAAGCGCTGGCCGAGCAGCTCACTGGACTATTAATATTGATTTCTTTAATAATAAAGAATTAAAGGACGGAAATATAATTAATGTCAATCAACCTGGGTTTATGGGAAATAGATCCTGTGAAACTAACATGATTTTTTTTAAATGAGATTATAAGTTTGGTTGATAAAGGTCATAGTGTTGACATAATATACATAGACTTCTATAAGGTATATGACTTGGTACCGCATGACATTTTGATTAAAAAAAAAAAGAGAAAGATATCAAATTAAAACGTCAGCCATTAAATAGGTTAAAAGCTAGTTAACTAGCTAATTACAAAATGTAATTGTAAATGGGGAATCATTGAATGGATGTGTTTCTAGTAGGATCCCGCAGGGATTAGTTCTTGTCCCTACACTTTAACATTTTTATTAATGACCAGGACGAAAACAAATTATTCACTGATAAAATTTGCACATGACACAAAAATTGGGGGAGTGGTAAATGATGAAAAGGACAGGTCACTGATATAGTGCCATCTGAATTGCTTGGTAAGATGGGCACAAGCAACAGTATGTATTTTAATATGGCTAAATTTAAATATATACATCCAGGAACAAAGAATATAGGCCATATTTACAGGATGGGGGACTCAATCCTGGGAAGCAGTGACTCTGAAAAAGTTTTGGGGGTCCTGGTGGATAGTCATCTTAACATGAGTTCCCAGTGTGACGCTGTGGCCAAAAGGGCTAATGTGATGCTTGGAAGCATAAACAGGGGAATCTCAAGTATGAGCAGAGAGGTTATTTTACCTTTGTACTTGACACTAGTGTGACCACTGCTGGAATACAGTTCTGGTGTCCACAGTTCGAGAATGTTGATAAATTGGAGGGGATTCAGAGAAGAGCTACTAGAATGATTATGAAAGGATTACAAACATACCTTTTAGTGATAGACTGAGCTCCTTGAATCTTTAACTTAACCTCCTCTTTGTTAAGGAGGGGTCTTGATTACAGTCTATAAGTACCTATAGTGGGCAGATATTTAATAATGGGCTTTTCAGCCTAGCAGAGAAAGGTCTAACACAATCCAATGGCTGGAAATTGAAGCTAGACAAATTCAGACTGGAAATAAGGTGTACATTTTTTAACTGCGGGAGTAATTAACCATTCAAACAACTTACTGAGGTTTGTGGTAGATTCTCCATCCCTGACCATTTTTAAATAAAGATTGGATGTTCGTTTCAAAGATATGCTCTAGGAATTATTTTGGGGAAATTCTATGGCCTGTGTTTTATGGGAGGTCAGACTAGATGATCATAATGGGCCCTTCTGGCCTTGGAAATGATGCATCTATGAAAGGAAAACATGATCCCCACTATTTATTTTTTTTCAAAAAGTAAAACTGGCTATTTTTTAGGCACCATGGGGGGAGCATAAGCCCAATTTTGTTGTCCTCTGCAGGCCACTTTTTAACACACCTAAACCATACTTACTGTGCAATCCTCATAAGACGGGCTTGTGTGTGTGTGTGCGCTTCCAGTCAGAATCAAGATTTATTTCCCTTCCAGAGTCTGTTACTGGCTTCTAGATATAATATATTCTGATCTAGACCTCAAAGTTGCATGTATGTCTTTACAGACTGTAAAATAAACATTCCATACTACCCTGATTGGGCTTCTGCAGTCATGATGCACGTGCATGAAGGATTTATAGAAAGAAACATGTTTAAACAACAAAACATCCTTCCAGAGGAAAAATCTGCCGCATACATCTGTGCTTTTCTTTAATGAGGAAAAGATTATATAGGTGTTTTTTGTGCCTCATATCTTAAGCAACACTGGTATTAACAACCTTATTTCTCTCAGGATATTCCCAGTGGACTTGAAGTGACTAGAGAGCTGAAGAACTAGCTGGCAGTGAGAGAACTTTGGGGCACATCTAGCCTCTGAATACCAACTCTCTAGGGTTGAAATCTGAAAACACTGAAATCTGTAAACACCTTGTGGTGACTGGAAATGTCTAGGCTTTGTTTCCCCGGTTTCAAAAAAAAAAAAAAAAAAGACACAGCCTGCTGAGAAAACTTAAGTGAAATCACCCTGTGCCTCCTCCTCCTTGCAGATGCGTACAACCCGCAAAGTATCTGTGTGGCCTGTGGGGCTAGTGGGAGGTCGACGGTATGAGCGCCCTGTAGTGGAAAATGGCAAAGTTGTTGGCTGGTATACTGGCTGGAGAGCAGACCGTCCATTTGCCATTGATATGGCAGGTAAGTACTGATAAAGCTGTTCTATAGAATATATGAACACAATGTCCTGTTTGTACTCATGAACAGGCCAAAAGCATGTGTTTACTTGTAAAGTGGTCTCCCTTAAAATGAGGACAACTTTGAAAATTTCCATTGTTTCCTGTGGAGTTCTTGATTCTGTAGATAGGAATATTGCTGAAAATGGTTACATCTTTTAAAACAGCAGAACTTTTGAAGTGCAATCATTGTACACAGCCCTTCTGGTTTTAAATATCCTACAAGTCTTGGCATGCACATTTTCTCCAATTAAATAGTTATTTGATAACCCAATATACTGTAATTTGCTTTAATTTTATGTGATAATTTTGATTTATGTTTGATTGAATTGTCTGCAAATCATTTAATTTTTGCAGGAAGTCTGTGTCTTTCATTGTATGATCAACACACACTATGCAGGGTAAATGCAGACACTTCGTAAACCTCATGTTGCAAAATGCTACTTTATCATGAAATGATTCATTTTCTGTTGGTTATGTGAAATGATGACAGTGATAGTTGTAGATGGATATGGTTTGAAACACCGGGCTTAAGGGAAAAATCACTGACAACTATAGCCTGCTAGATAGAGGCAGAAAAGCTTTAAAATTGATCTCATCAATCTTCTACTGTGAAGTTAGCACACCACATAGCTGTGTCTAGCTGTCAGCCCATGCTTGGCCAATCTTTTATGTATAAATCTCAACTGCCCACAGAATCTCTTGGGTGCAGAATTCTGACTTTTGATATAGCAGTCTTCCGCCATGGTATAACTTTTTTGTACTTTTAAAACCCCCTCTGTATTAGTTTTCTGTGTGAGGGACAGTGAGGGGAAGAAAGGAATGCAAAATGACCACATATTTTTCTCTTGAAACTTTGTGTGAAGGCACGTACTACTCCTCTAAGGCAGGGGTTCTCAAACTTCATTGCACCGTGACCCCCTTCTGACAACAAAAATTACTGCACGACCCCAGGAGGGGGACTGAAGCCTGAGCCTGCCCAAGTCCTGCAGCCCCAGGTGGGAGGGCCAAAGCCTATAACCTGAGCCCCCCCACCCAGAGCTGAAGACCTGGGGCTTTGGCTTTAGCCCTAGGTGGTGGGGCTCGGGCTTCGACCCCCAGGCCCCAGCAAGTGTAATGCCAACCCTGGGGACCCCATTAAAAAGTGTTTGTGACCCTCTTTGGGGTCCCGACCCACAGTTTGAGAACCGCTGCTCTAAGGTATAGCCAGGTGCTCACAACAAAAACAGGTTGGTGGGGTGGGAATCAAGGACTGGCCCTTCCCTAGGTCTCTTGGATTTCACAGACCTTTCCAAGAGGTATCCTATTTCAGGCCTACAGTCCAAAATGATTTATAAAGAATATGAATGTTTAACCTCTAAAAACAGTAATAGAAAAGTAATGGTGGTTAAAATAATTCCTAACACTTTTTGTTTGGAGACATTACCAAATATTGATCACTTATTATTCAAAAATGTTACATTGTAAGTCCAAAGTGTAGGAACATTTCAAGTAAGATAAAGAGAGCAATTGGCTTTAAATGTCTACATTAATATTTTTGTCCTAAATTAATTTTTGTCCACTAAATTAGTATTATTTAGTGAGATAGTAGCTGCACTACTCTTTGTGAATACATAGTTCAGTCCCTAAGCCACTGCAAACTTGTCAGACTGATGTGCGGTGTGGTTGGGGGAAGCACATCTAAAAGAGCAATCCCTGTCTGTAGAGTTTTAGAGACACACTGGTGTTATGCTGTGCAGGTGGTTGCTTATGGGCATTCAAAGGATGATAGAAAGGTGTATAATTCATTAGCTACAGGCAGAGGTAGTTAGACAACATAAGCCCAGGGAATCTCACCCTTAGATGAAGAGGCATATGAAAAGTTGATGAGTTACCTTGGTTTATGTGTCGAGATCATTACTTTGTATGTCAGGGGATACACTGGCGTAAATATGGGGAAGAAGCAACACCAACAGAGAAGTATCTGCTCATATTTTTAAAAAGCAGCTAATGGAAGAAGGGAGCATGGAAACGAAGTTGCAAATGTTGAGAGGAATGTGAAATGTTAGAAAGCAAGCCTCTTAGAGATTGGTGAGAGAAAATTCTTCTCACCTGCACCAAGTGTTTTTTTTAATTTTCATTATTATTTTTATATTATTAAGGATCAAGTTTTTTCATCAAAGTAGCAACTAGACTCAGTGCCTGAGCTGGTAAACGGTCATGTCATGTTTGCAAAAGTGATGCTACTTCATCATTAGCCGGAGACACAGGGTGGAAAGAGATGGAAAGAGTAAGTAAATGCAGAATCAAGCAGACATTTGAAAATGAATGGTGTCCATCTGCAGGCATTTTGACCAGTACTAACTGTCAGGTCTTCTTGGAGTGCTTGCTCATGTCCATTCCATGCTAGGTGTGTGCATTGTATGCACAGTTGCAGGAGATTTTCCCCTCATTGGTATCCATAGGACTGACTGTAGCACCCTCTGGAGCCACGTGCATATGCGCTGGTATAAGGGGCGCCACCAGCCCCACACCCTCTCAGTTCCTTCTTACTGCCTGTGATGGTTGCACGGAATGATCCTTCTTGCTCTTGCAAGGCCTCTTTCCCAGTGATTTGGACTTTCTATTGTATATTTATTGTAGTCTGTGTTAGTGTATATAGTAGTGTTAATAGTTGTTCCTGCTGTCAAGGGACTTTCACCCCAAGGGCTGGGTATGCCTTGGTCCCTGGACTTCAAGTCGTGTACCTTCTGTGGCAAGCCGATGCCAGTGAGTGACCCACACTCTAGCTGTCTAAAGTGCCTCAGGGAAACTCAGGTTAAAGAGAAGTGCTAGATCTGCAGAGGCCTTGCACACAAAAGGACAGAGACATTTGTTGGAAGGCTTTACTCATGGAGGCAGCCCTCAGATCAGTCTCGGAGCTGAGCCACTCTGAATTGGTGCCAAACATTTAGGCTTCCATGCGAAGTGCTCCACTGGCACCCTTCTCTATCCTTGATGCTGAAGAAGCAGCATAAGAAACAGTGCACCGAGAGAGGGCACGTTGCAGCGCCGAAGAGGGACAAGCGGGAAGTGACCAGTGCAGTGAGACCTGCGCCAGGCCACTTGTCCTCACAGAGCCACTGGTGACTCCAGTGACTACACCTAGAGCGCCAAGTCTGGTACGGGCGCCAGATCCATCCCCCCTTTTATTTCTGGACTGCCTGTCACTCTTCAGCCCAGCCTGGTCAGATACAACATTGGGAGCAGCAGTGGGGCCATGCACCTGTGGACTCGTTTGATCCTGGAGGCTTTCCAAGGCGGCAAAGGACCTAATGTCTCTCCCAATCCAGCCGACCCCTCAAGGCGCCCTGCCAGCCAGGGGATAGAAGGGAGCAAGGGATGGTGAGCTCCACTGGGACACCAACCACTGTGACACCATCCTGGGTCAAACTCTCCTGTGGTCCTAATACAGTGGTCTACAGCCTGTTACTGTAATTATTAATTATTATTATTATTATTACTGGTCTCCAGCTCCCAGGCACGGCCCAGAGGCAGAAGTGGGTACTGCGCCATCCTGGTCTCCAAGAGAAGAATCCATTTTGGAGCCCGAAGGGGAATCCTTCGCTTCACCTAAGACCTACTGGTACCAGGCCTAAAACCCGGACTTTGGTACTAGCCCCCTGGCTGGCGCCTGGCCACCGGACCACTGGCCAATGCAGTAGCAGTATTGGAACCTGTGGGGGTTTCCTCGGTTATTGGGGCCTCCTGTCCCACTGCTCAGACTCAGTAATATCAGAGGGGTGAGCCACCATTTCATCCCATCCGGCACCAGACCCTGACTCCAGTACTGGTACTGACATCCAAGAAATGGCCCCAATGGATGAGGTGGAGGAAGAGCAGGCGGACCCTCCCCTGTTACCGGCCTCCTCCTCATCATTCCCGGATGCGACGGTTGCAGGTCCTAGTGATCTGCTCCCACTGCATGACTGCAGGGCCTACCAAGAGCTCCTGAAAAGTCCTGCAAACTTGGGACTGGAAGTCAAAGAGCTCAAGGAGCCCAATTGACATCCTGGCTGTAGCAGCTCCCTCCAGAGTGGCCCTGCCAGTTAACCAAGCAGTGATGAGACTTGTCAGGACATTATGGCAGACTTCTCCTTCTCTGCCCCCATTTCAAAAAGGGCAGCGAGGAAATAGTGTCCTATCCAGTGGGTCTGAATACCTCCACCCCCTGCCCTCCGTGGTGTTGGCGGCAAATGAGCAGGATAGATGGGGCAGTTGAGCGTTACCCCCAAAAATAAAGAGGCCAAGAGACTGGACCTGTTTGGATGTAAGGTTTGTTCAACGGGCAGCCTCCAGTTACATATCTCCAATAAGCAGGCTCTGCTGGAGAGATATGATTTTAACCTGTGGGACTCATTGTCCAAATTTAGAGACCTGCTACTATAGGAATTGAGGTAGGAGTTCACAGCCATCCTAGGGGAGGGCAAAGCAGTGGCCAGGACCTCCCTCCAGGCACCTCTGAATGCGGCTGACTCAGCAGGCCGGACTATGGAGTCAGCGGTCACCATGAGGCGCTGCTCATGACTTGTCATTGGACCTCCCTCACAAAGTGCAGCAGTCCATTCAGGGCCTCCCCCTGAAGACTACCTCGCTGTTCTCAGTACAGACTGACTCCAAGCTTCAAGGACTCGAGGACTCCCCTTCGCTCCTTGGGCCTTTACACACCTCCTGCCTCCAGGAAGTATTTTAGGCCCCAGCATCCTCCCATGTCTCATTTCCCAGGCAGGAGCCCTATAAAAGAAAAGGGAAGGGCTATAAGCGATGCCAATCCCTAATTTTTACCTCTGCATCCCAGTCAGGCTTGCACAGGCCTTTTGAAGTATGCCCAAGGACAGTCTACTAGTCTCATCGCCAGATCCATCCCCCACTTTTGTTTCTGGACTGCCTGTCACCCTTCAGCCCAGCCTGGTCAGATACAACATTGGACCATTATATACACTACAG